GAGATAGAAACATCAATGATGAGAGACAATCATAGATTGGCTATGTCCTGCATGCCCCACACTAGGGATCGAGCCCACAACCTGGGCATATGCCCTGACCAGGAATCCAATCTGTGAGCTTCTGGTTCTTAAGCTGATGCTCAACCACTAAGCCGGCCTGTTTTTGTAATCGATTTTATAGAGAGAGAGAAACATCGATTTGTTGTTCCACTTATGTATGCGTTCATTGGTTGGTTCTTGAATGGGCCCGGATGGGGGATCAAACCCACAACCTTGGGGTATGGGGAAAATGCTCTAACCAACGGAGCTACACGGCCGGGCCTCTGTGCTTCCGTTTCTTAACCTCTAATTCAATAGTTATCCTTGTAACATGGGTGATATTAATCTCTTTTTTTCATGTTTATTTGTTGCATTATGTGTGTATACAGAGACTGTCTGTAGTCTAGAAGGACACACAATAAACTGGTACCAGTGGTTCCCCCTGGAAAGGGGAATTTGGAAACTGGGAGACCGTGATACCATAAACCTTTCTGCTCTGATTTGTGCTTTAATATATCATGCATACATTGCCTGCCTACATTTATTATTGAGCAATTAAAAAAGTAAAACTACACTTTTGTTTAGATGGTTAGGAATCAGAAGTCAGCTCAAGTAAAGTAGTGCTAACCGACAATTCAAACAAACAAAGAAACCAGTGAAGTTTTCCGTGCCTACCTTCGCGGGACTCACAAACACTTCGCGCAGGTCCCATCCCGCTCACCTCCGGCCCGGGGCGGCGGCCAAGTGTCCCCGACCCCGCCCCCTTGTCGCCGAGGTCCCGCCCACGTCAAACGTCACTTCCGGAAGGATCGTTTCCCCGAACTCCCTCTGGCTCCCGCCTTCACCCGCTTCCGGTCGTCGTCGCCGCTGCTGCCGCTGCTCCTGCTGCTGAGGCTGCTGGCGGAGGCCGGAGAACCAGGCGGCAGTGGCTGAGAGGGCAGCGGCAGGAGCGGAGCGGGAGGAGGGAATGAGAGGAAGCCTGAGAGGGGGGAGCGGAGCGCACTGAGCCCCGCCCGCCCTTCCACGCGCCAGGGCTGCT